AATGTATTTAAGTAAGTTCCTGCGTTTGTCAAAGAACTGTTAGGTTATCTAGTCTTTGTTCTTTTTGTGAAAATTTACATATTATTATCTTTATTGTAGTTTATGAACTGAGAAGACAGTAAAGTAGGCTATTATAACTGGTTGGTATATGTACTTTTTAAAAATCTGAAATCATTAAAAAAAGAATTTTCTCTCAGGAAAATCCAAAGTAAAAGCCACGTGTGGTAGTGCAGGCCTGTAATCCCAGCACTTTGGGAGCTGGAGGCAGGAAGTTCAGGAGTTCTAGGTCATCCCCAACAACTAGGGAAGGAGGGAGGGAGGGAGGGAGGGAGGGAAGAAGGAGGGAAAGGAGGGAGGAAGGAGAGAGAAAGGGAGAAAGAAGACCAAGATTGCTTTACTCGAGCTTCGCATAGTTTACTTTTTCAGGCCCCCGGTACACTGTCAACGATGTTGCATGTGTCCAAGAAGGACAGGAAGGCTCTTTTCCTGTCACTTAACTTTCAGGATTTTTCTGCATAACAGAGAAAAAATGGTTCTGTGTATATTAGAGATGGTCAGAGATTTCCAAGCCATTTGGCTTTGGAGGTGGTTTAAATAAGGATGAATTTAATATAGTTTTAATTCCTTGAAATAAGAGAACTCCAGAGGAGGTTTGATCCAGGGGAGTCTGGTTTTGACACTGAGGAAAATCTGTGATGTTAATCCCAGTGGCTCAGAGTCTAAAGCTACCTGGACAGATGCCCAAGGACAGGAGGTATATGAAGAATATTTTGAAAGAAACTTACAACAAAATGAGTGCTGAGAGGATCCTAGATCTTATGGGCAATCATTAGCACTTAAGGCAAGATACAAATAAATACGCTTGAGAAAGCTAATTAAAATAGTGTAATGCGTAAAAGCAGAAGAAGACGATAGAATAACTTTCCTGCTCTGGTGTTAATGTAATGCTACACAGTGAAATAGTAGGATTTTTAAAATCTGATCTCACACTGGTATAGAAGAGATGGAGGAGAAAATTATATTGCTGGAAAATGCCAGGGCAGGTTTGCCAAAGTTATTGTCATGCACTGTATTTAAGACAAAAATGTAATTGCTGTAATTTATTAATATGTCTGGGTATTAAAACCTTGCTAATTTCAAGATTTGAATCATTTGCTACTTTTGCACATAGGGACTTTTCATAGAATATACTATGAAAAATTCTGATTTTTGTCAGCCTTTATATGCTTTTTAGGAGTTCCTAAGCTAGGGGAATTTGAAATATAACCTTTTGAAGGGAAAATTAATATTAAATTGATTTCCTTAAAGTCACAGAGCCAGACCCAAGCCAGACATCATCTCAGCCCCAGGCTGTTCCTGTCTCACCTCCAACCTGCTCCCCTATAGATGGCTTTGAGTACTTTCCCTTCCCTTCTGGCCCAGCACAGCCTTTCCACCTCGTGAATAACCAGGCCTTCATTCTGCAGGTGCAAAGTTCCCCATTAAGTGGACAGCCCCAGAAGCAGCCCTGTATGGAAGGTTCACAATCAAGTCTGATGTGTGGTCTTTTGGAATCTTACTCACAGAGCTGGTCACCAAAGGAAGAGTGCCATACCCAGGTAAGAGCAGGACCCTGGCAAATGGGCCTCTGTGGGAGTCTCTTCTGACCTTTTACCAAAATTTCACTCAGTTGGCTTTCTAAGCCCTGGGCTCAGCCTTCTGCTGAGCAGAAGTTTGAAGAATGTGAACAGGTATTTTAGACAGAGGAATGCAGATCCAGGGTCACCATGACCTGTGTGCTGAGGTTAATGTACTGTGAGTACCTGTGTAAATGCTGCGGTCCCCCAGTCTATGGACTCTCTCCAGTCTCAGGAGCATGTTGTGGCTCCCAGAGCAGAAATGTCACTGGCAGAGCCTGTGCCCAAATGGAATTGCAGACATGTCTGAGAAAGAGAAAGAGAAAAGCCCCCACTGCTTTTTGATCACAGTATAGCACTGACCCACAGAGCAAACCTGGCAGGAAGATGCCGGGACCTGCACACTCTGCAGGCCCTAGATCCAGATGGCCACAGCAGAGGCACATGAAAGGCAATTTAGATGCCTCTCTCTATCTTGCTGAACAGCCAAAATACGCTACACAAAATCGAGTGTAATGTAAAGGAACTGGAGACTCTATAGCCTACAGTTGCTTTGGATTATCAGATGCATGCTCTCCAAAGAAACCACGGGTTGAGGTTATCCATGCTTAGATTCATTAATTTAGACAGACGGAGGCATAAAGGACACTGGTGCCATTTCACCTCCACGCTTTACTGGTTATAGTGCAGGGAAGATCTGCTGTTTGAAATGTTAAGGACATATTTTTTAGTTACTGCTGAGCAAAGAAAGAGCACAGCGCGCTCTCTCTCTCTCCCTCCCTCCCTCCCTCCCTCCCTCCTTCTCTCCCTCCCTCCCTCTCTCCCTCCCTCCCTCTCTCTCCCCTGTCTCTCTCCCTCCCTAAAAAGAGAGCTGAAAAAAAGCCTACAGTGATAGAAACGATAGTGGAGATTAATGAGGGCTGTAGGTCTCTTGCAAATCCTGGGCTTGTAATCATATCTTTGCAGTCAGAGGCGCCACGAGAGCCGATTAATTTGTAATCCCTTTGTTCATTTTGTCTGATTGTTTCTGGTCACCGTCAGAGAAAAGAGAAGTGCTCATAAAGAAGATCTCTTTCTCTTTCTGGGATGGTACAGCCTTGAGACCTCTAGAAAAGTGAGATTGGCATTGAGGCAAAATTAACAAAATCCCAGTCTCCAAAATGCGGGCACGGCGTTTTGGAGCTGTGGGTGTAGCGTAAGTCAGTTTTATTGATGCTGTGGTGGCTGTTGCTTCAGGCATGCACAAGTGAGCAGACACTCTGGGAACAGCCAACCAGCAGGGAAGAAAGGGCCGCCTGGGAGGGGACGGGGAAGTGGGGTGGGGGCAGCATGGGCGCTTCAGAATTGCTTCTCAAGTGTCCAGATTTTAAAGATGAGATGGCACTTCTCCTTTTATTATTATTGTTGTCTGCATTCTGAGCTAATTTCTTCCTGATCCCCCCAGGTTTATAGTCACCTGGTGTGTTAAATGCAATCAGGAGAAAAGGTTAATGTTTTGCATGTCTGTGAAGCCTTTCCCTCAGTAATACAAAGCTGCTTTTTATTTCTCAGGTCACACACAGAAGCCAAGACAAAGAGGTGGAGGTGGGAGCCTCAGAGGGGGAAGGCAGGTGTGTTTCGAAGACAGGGTCTTTTGTCAGGTTGGATTTTAGCACAAAGAAAATAGCCTAGGTTTGTAACAGACTGCATCCATCCACTCAGCATCATTCAGTGTGACCTGTGCTACCATTTGGCCCCTTGGGAAGTAGTACAAGTAAGCCATTCATGCTCCCAAGTGATGCTGATGAGTACCCACTGCAGAGCAAGTCCTAGGTGCTGGAGGGAGAAGAGTGAGCAAATAAATAAATAAATGGAGCCCCTGCACTCATGGACCTTGCATTCAGAACACATTTGGAACATGGGTCAGGTTCAGAAACTGATCAGCTTTATTTGTGCCATATTTATTGTGGGTAGATTAGTTGATGTAAGCACCTGCTTTAGGTCCCTACGTGCACCAGGTTCAGGGCCAGCCTTCACTGAAAGTGCCATGAGCAGGGCAAGGGAGTTTGCAGTAGGAACTGAGTCCAGCATATTGTACATACTTATGTCTTTAAGCAAATGCCGATATGCCATGTACTTCTATGACTGCACCTGTTCTGTAGGCGCTGTAGGGAAAGATGACTTTGTGGTGAAGGCAAGTAAACCCAGATCTTGAAAAGCAAGTGGGGTTTCCTCATGTTGAGGAAGCTGGAAGACCCTGGCACACAGAAAACCGAAAGAGCCTGACCTGACACTGACAGAGCCAGTTTAAGGAGCTGCAGGAGCAGTCTCAGGAGAGTGTGTAAGGTGAAGTGCCTAGGGATGCTCCTGGAAAAGGGGCATAGTCAGTGCTGAGGGACTTGTGTGCTACACTGGGAAGACATTGGAACCTGATTGGTTGCATTGATAGCCTAGGCAGCTGTGTCAGGGGAGAGTGTGATGTGAACTGCTTACACCACAGACAGCCACAGAAAGTTGTTCCCAGGCCTGTTCTCCTAGCCATCGGCACTTCTTGGTTTTATTTTTTAACTCAGCTATAATCATATTTAATTGGACTTCTGAATGTGACAGAAAACTCTTCTTGAGGGAGAAGCTTCTACAGAGGGATTGCAATTATAGGATTATTATCTTAATGAAGGATAACAGTTCCAAGGCACAGACAGTTTCATTAAGCTTTATCCAGATGTCCCCATGGTTATTGATGTAGCCAAATCAGTCACTGCATACTGAGGGGTTGCCTGTCTTCAACTCTCCTGCTTTGTATTTTGGCCCCTTTTAGTGCCACTCCAGCACAGGTTCCTAGTCTCTGTCTGTCAGAGACTTCCATTCTGCACTTTGACCCAGTAATTTCTCAATTGGTTAGAATGTATTTTCAGGTCATTCCTTTCTCAAGAATGGTAGGTGATGGTAAACTTTTCTGAGTTTTTCATACGTGAGAATGGTCCTTTGTCACCGTGTCATATAGGACAGTCAGTCCATAAGTGAAAATCGGAGAAGGAACTAAGAACAGAACGTGTGGCGTATGAGCAAATGAAGGGCAAACTATTAGCAGCAGGTCAAATGCTGCCTGGGCTGGTAAGTTAGCACAGACTGTTAAAGGATTGGATAAAAAGGAAGGAAAGAATACCTTAAAACTGAACAAGAACCTGGAAACCAAAGAAGGAACATTGAAATGTTGTGCCGAGATCAGCAGGGAGGTCACGAGGTGAGGGGAGGGCTGCTTCCAAGATGTATAGCAAAGACAAATGCCGAAGAATAACTCCATCTCATCCCGTCACTGCTGAACCTGACCAGGATATTCTCAGTGTTGCAGTCCAGCCTGCTCTCTGTAGAGCAGGACTTTAAGCCACTCTTCACATTAAGATTAGAACTGATTTTATACTGATGGATTGTTATATATGAGATGTAGTAACACTTAAGTAAAAGCTGTTTCCTGAGGGCAATGCATAAAATCAGATCTATGCATTTTAACCTGTCATTTCACCTCCAGAACCATTCTCAAATCCTTTTCCTCTCTGCCTTTACTACCAGTACACATATCAAGCTGTCACCACTGGGTAGTGACCTCATAATGGACCTTCCTGCCTCCAGTCTACCCCTGCCTCCCTCTTCCACCACCATTCTATCATTGTCACCAACAGAAATGTTAGTCTGGAAAACAGAGTCAAGTTATCGCTCTCCGGTCCTAGTTAAGATGCCTAGGGCTTCCCTTTGCCCTCCAGATAACTTCTGAAGGCTGTGTCTTATATAGTGCTACATCAGCCTTTGCCTTCATTCATTCTACAAGTATTTATTGAACAGCTATTATACATTCAAATATATAATATAGAAATACAGCAGTAAAGCTGTGTGAATTAATAAGACAAACAAGAAAAAAAGTCATAGGTTCTTGAAACAAAATATTTTAAATTTGGCTCGAAGCCTGCAAAGCCCTATTCAGTTTTCTTCATACATGGCCAGTATGACATATGTTTCTAAGCCACAAGGTAGCATCAGTCCCCAAAGTTGTCCTGGGAAGTTAACCCTGTGTTCAAACACCATGTTCCAATACCCTGATGGCCAGAATGTCCTGGCCATACTGTGCCATGCCCTTAACGGAACACCTGCTCAGTGCGTTGGCACGATTTGGCATAGCAGGAATGCGCTCTTAGCAAATCCATTCATTCATGCTTTTGAAGCCCCTTCACATCTTTCAGCAAGTGACAGCAGCTTGACTTTCTTGAATATATCTAGTCACTTGATAATGACTTGAAACAGTAAGGGGAGCTAGTGAAACCTGTGCCTTCCTTAAAGAGCAGAGATCCCACCCTGGTCCTCCCTCTGCCTTAGAGCCCTCAACCACACACAGAGATTCCAGGATTCAAGCTGCTGATAGGATCAGACTGCAGATGGGAGCATTCTCCCATGCATACGAAAGTTTGGGCTTTCCAGGCAGAAGGATAATGGGAAGCAGGCTGAAAACTTTAAGCTTAGCAGAAAGTGCAAGGTCCTCTGTCCTCCCTGCCTGTCCCAGTCTTCAGGGCTTTGCCTTCAGCACTATTTACTTCAGAGATGGAATCCTGTCTAGATGGCTGTCATCTCTCCTACAAGGTTTCTCTTGGCCAATGTAGCTGGTTAGAGGAGAAGAAAGGACAGCAGAATGTGTATGAAGCCAGAGGGCAGCTGGGGAGGGACTTCCTGCTTCCAGCCCCGCATTCCAAGCCCAGCATGTTGCTGTCCATTCTCAGCTGTGCGGTTCCCGCCTTCCAGGTGGGCACCGTCTCCCTCTTTTTTTCACTTCTCTTTTCCTAGGACAAAGGATTTCTTTGTTATCAAAATACTACATTATCAAAAGTCAGGCATGGTGATGGCTCAGACCTGTAATTCCAGCACTTTGGAGACTGAGGCAGGAAGACTGCTATGTAGCCTAGGCTAAAGACCCTGCCTCAAAAAAATTATACATATAAATATATATATGCATATGC